CACTTGTTTTTCTCCATCTCAATTGGTAAAGTCTCCTCTGCCAAACAGATATACACACACACTCATTGTGAGATTAAGTTGTTACGGTGACCCAAAAGGGGATAATAGTTTAATACGGAGAGGAGTATGAGCCGCAAAAACTTGTGGAAGCTCACCTCTGAGTATGGAGCTTTAGACATAACCCAACTCTGAAAAAAATAACAGGCATAACATGGTCCTCACATCCCCTGAGGTTCTGTCTGTCACCCAGCAGGTCTTTTGCTTCACACCATTGCCCATTATCCTCTGACTTCCTGGAGACCACAACAAATGAGAGGGAGAGTCCTGATGCTGGAACTGAGTAGGTGATGCAGGAGGTAGGGCAAGCAGTAAAGGGTTTATCACCATAGCACCAGGCAAAGGAAATAGGCAAGAAGAGTGGGTGGAGAGAAAAGACAAATGGTAACAGTAACAGCTAACAATTACTGAGGCTTTACCCTGTGCCAGGTGCTTCACAACCATGTGAGGTAGGTGTTAAAGCCTGCCCCATCCCACCAATGTGGAAATCAAGGTCACTGAGCTAGGAAGCAGCTCACTCCCAGCCTTGGGTACCTTACTGAGAAATACTTTGAGGAAGGGGGTTAAACGGCCTCGAGGAGTTACTGTGCTATACTGAGAAATACTTTGAGGAAGGGGGACTAAAGTTGGAGATGGGGGCTGGGGTTTCAGTAGGAGCCCTGCTGTTGCTTAAGTGACTTTCTACCAGTAATTTTCCCTTTCTGAGCCTCAGTTTTCTCACCCATGAAAGGGAACAAAGGTTTTCACATTGTGCAACCTCCTGCACCCCAAGAGATCCCAGCAAAGACTGAAGGAAAGCTAAGGAAGTGGAGCTGGGACATGGCATACACTTCAAGTAGAATAGTACCACTGTGATCCCCTGCAATGGGGGAGGAGGTGTTATATAGCATTTTATGGGGCAGAAGGAGGTTTTGCTCTTAATAAACAGTGTGGGAACCACTGTACCATATGTCTCAGGAGCCCTTCCCATTTTAAGTATACTTTTTCTAAGTGTGGGGGTGGGGGAAAGAATGAAGACTCAAAACGACAGCAGTTTCTGGCCTCAGGATGGGAAGGTCGAGAGGAAAATAAGAGGCTTTAATGAAGTCTGTGTGTGCCAATGAGTTGATTCCAACTCATAGCAACCTAATGTGACAGAACAGAACTGTCCTATAAATTTTCTTGGTTGTGAAACCAAGATCACCAAGTCTTTCTCCCATGGAGCTGCCAGACTTTTGGTTAACAGCAGAGTGCTTAACTGTGGCGCCACCAGGGATCCTTCTAATGAATCTTAACAGCCCATTATGTTGAGTTGCTCAACTAACAGTTCCTGAAAGTCAAAGCCATATGCTATAAAATTCCTTTCTTTCTCTTCTAGAATAGAACCATAAAACATGGTTTTATAAAAATATAGAAGTTCCTGATTTGCAGATGGGGCATGTTCCAAATGTTTTCTCCTCCTTTTCCTTTTCAATGTTTAGGTTCTTACTACCACTTTATTATGTCCTCTTTATAGATATGGTATAGCTAGCATTCTTTGCTGGAAAGAGGTGGGCAGATTTCTTTCTTCTTGGTATTATCTGGAAACACAGATTACGTTTTCCCAAAGCAATAAACAGGGTAGAGGTAGAGTAGAAAAGAAGATTAGTTTGGGGAGAGGGAGAAAAAAGGGAAAAGATTCTCCTGAGGTAGAAAGCTAATCTTGGGAAGAGAAGTAAAAGATGAAGGGGCAAAGAGATATATAAAAGCAAACAGATGATACTGATTTAAAAAAAAAAAAAGACATGTAAAAACTAGAAATATTTCTTATGCTGTACTAACTAAAGGAGCCCTATGTTTGGAATGGTTAAGTGCTCGGCTGCTAACCAAAAAAAAGTTGGCAGTTCAAACACACCCATGAGAGAAAGACTTGGTGATCTGCTCCTGTAAACAATATAGCCTAGGAAACTCTACGGGGGCAGTTCTACTGTCCTCTAGGGTCGCTATGAGTTAGAACTGATCTGACAACAAGGATCACTAAACTCCAAGTAGGAAAAGACCAAAACCATGGGAGAATGAGGATTCCCAGTATCCCAGGAAAGTAATGAGGTGGTGGGGAGGAGGTGTTAATTTAGGTCTGCTTTACCCAAAGTGTGATTCACAGAACATTCATCACTGGAGATGATTCTTGGAAAACATCTCTTTGGTCAGACAAGCTTGGGAAACACTGTGACTCAGTCTCCTGAATCCTGCCAGGATACACATGTTCACTGGCATTAAACAAACGTTCTTGATGGCAGGGCTTTTCTTAAACAAATGTTTGTCAGCTTGAAGTGGCCTGCATTTTGCAGACCATTTACCTGTTCTCTCTTACATTCTCTAAAATTCCTCCAAGATGACCCACAACTACCTGGCTGAATATCTCTCCTGGAGTGTCACAATGTCCCTAGTGCACTGAAGGCTCTGCAGGATCGAGACCTACTTCTCATTGTTTAACCTGGCATTCTTCACATTTATTAGGCCCAGTTCTCTATTTGGAAAGCACACTTTGGGAGAGATGCCAACTTAGGCAGAGCCCAGCATTAGCCATCACAGCAAAACCACTGGTCCCTTGGTTAGTTGTTCTGCCAGCTTGAATTGGGGAAGGCAGAAGCATGTAGCTGGCATAGAACAATTGGAAATCTGTTGCTTAAAACCTAAAGAATATCTATAAAAATTGTGTCATGGATTTAAGCTGATAACTAAATTTCACTTGTCCAATATTTGTTTTTATTTTATAATTGAACAGGGAAGTCTCACATTTACCTAAAATACAGCATATCTATACACTGAGTGCCTAGATGGTGCAAACAGTTAACACATTTGCTGCTAACTAAAAGGTTGGCAGTTTGAGTCCACCCAGAGGCACCTCGTAAGTAAGGCTTGGCAATTTACTTGTAAAAAATCAGTCCTTGAAAAGAATGGAGCACAGTTCTACTCTGACAAACCTGGGGTTGCCATGTGTCAGAACTGACTCGATGGCAACTAGTTGCTGGTTATATGTCATCTAGACCACGGCTGTCTATTTTCTGCTCAGGAAGATTTGTGGGAGACCATCAAATGCCTTGCTGAGTAAGATCTGACAACACTATGTTGGGTATCACTCATCTACTGATATGGTAACTGTCAAAGAAAGAGACAAAAGCAGCTGGCATGGTTTGTTCTTAGTAATCCCTGCTGGTTCCTGGTGGTGGCACTTCCTCTTTCAGGTGCTCACTGCCATTGCTTTAATAATAGGTTCCTGAATCTTGCCAGGATCAACATGTGCTCATTGGCATTACACAAATGTTCCTTGATAACAGAGCCTTTCTTAAACAAATGCTTGTTGGCTTGGTGGCCCGCATTTTGTAGTCCATTTACCTGTTCTCATTTACATTTTCCAAAATTCTTCCAAGATGACCCACAACAGCCTGGCTGTCTTCACAGGACTCTGGACTGTACCCTCACTTGGCCAAGGGACTCAAACCAGCATCAAGGGGTTTGGTTTGCCTTCCACCTGCTCTTCTGCTTTGAGCTTTGGCTCCCTTGTAACAGGATTTGTTCAGCTCTCCCCTGCCTGATAGGCTCAGCTGAAGTGCCTGGTCCCATAGCCTCTGCTGCTTTTCTACTTTAATGGTCATCTCCAGGAATAGGCAAGGCTCCTTTTTGCCTTCAAGTCTCTCATACACTGGCCCCAGCTAAGATGCCCATCTTCCCTCTCAGTCTTTAGAATCTAGTTTACATCCTGATTCTTCCAGGTCATTGAGCTCTCCTTCCTCTGAGTCTCTGAAACATTTGGTAGCCATCAGCCAATCACATGCTACCTGGGAGTTTACCATGTGTTCCCTGTGAGGGTCCCACTTGTCATAAGAGGCAGCTGGAAGCTTCAGGACAGGTAGGACTGGGCCTTTACACTTCTTTAGAACCTCTCTGCAGCAACTAGTGCAGCACTATGCCTCAAAAGTCCTTAGAAATGCTGGATGGACAGAACTGCTATTTCCCACTTTCCTTCTGGTCCAAGGGAACCACAACTTTAATGGAAGCTATGAACTGCAAACATCATTATTATCTCAAACAGATCCAAAGTTTATCTTGAAATGAAATGGACATCGGGCCTTTCAGAAACGGGCATCCTCTGTCTCTTCAAATACATCTCAATGAAACTTGGTACATAAATAAGTTACAGAGACATGTGATTGTACCCAGAAGATCACAGTTTACATAAATTACCAGTAAAGACATAGATTTAAGTATTTAGGATAAACTAGAAATAACAAAATAAGTCTTGGAAAAATAATAATGCTCCTCAAAACAGAACAGAAATAAGCAAAGTTATTCTAATGAAAATGCCTCTTGGACCAACCTTATTCTCCAGGTTGTGGTGGTAAAGGCTGACATGTGCTCTCCTTTCTCAGGCCCAACCCAGTCCATACGACTCTCAAATGGCCTACAAGTCAGACTTCCCCAGGCATTTTGCTGGGGGCTGGTAGGCAGGCATGTGGCCTGAACTTAGGGCACTGTCTTCTGCGGGTACCCCAGAAGACAAAGAGTTTGACTAAATAAGCTTCCAAGTTGTCTCATCATCTGACATCTAAATGGATATTGTTTTCAAAAGTAAAAGGAAAAATACACAGTCACCTGAAGACAGGAAATAATCAGTGTTTACTTAGGAGAATTAGAGTTGCCTTTTTCCTCTTAATTTTTCTGGAAAACTACTTACAAACCAACCACAATAGCCCAGCAATTTCCCTTGGCTAAAAGAGCTGATAGAACACATTATATGTCACCAAACTCATCTGCACTATTAAAAAAAGATGGTGGTGGTGTTGGCTCCTTATTGTAAAATGCTAGGGTGCCCACAAAATCATTCCCCTTTTCCCACCCACATTACTCACTTGCACACAAACACATCCATGCACATATACACATACACATATACTCAACTCTCTCATCTTTCCAGACCTCACCTGGTTGATAACATAGATGCCATAGTCCAACTGCTGGCGCTGCAGAATTGGGTGTAAGTAATACAGCCAGTACTTGAGGTGGTCCTGCCGGTTGCGGAATGGAATAATGATGGCCACCTTGTGAGGAGAGACACAGTTTTTAGGGGCATAGCGGCCGCCCACCTTCACCTCTGGGTTCTGCTCTGCCACATGTTCTAGATCCACAGCCATGTTAAATTCGATCACCATGGGACCAACTGAAGGAAGAGAAGGGAAGGAAAAGTTAGCAGACAGTAAGACTCTCCACTCCATAGGCGGGTCAACTGGCCAAGGCATAGCCACAAAAGAGACTTCTCCTGGGAGACAGTGTGGCCATGGAAAAGGCACACAAATGTGGGCACCTCCTCCAGCACTAGGGTAACCACCCATCCCAGGAAACCCCTCAGCACTGAAACTCCTGTGTCCTAGGAAATACTCATCCCAGGGGAAATCAGGATGGTATCTGGCACTCTCTGCACCCTTCAGACTATGTGTTTCTCATTTATAAAATGGAAATGGAGATAATAATTTGTTTAGACTTCCTGACAAGGTTGTTGTAAGGATCAAAGATAATGGATGAGAAAGCACTTCCTTTCCTCGAAAGTTCTAAGGCTGACATTGTGGTAAACCATATGGTGCTTCCTTAAAAAGTTGGAAATAGAAATAACACGATTCAGCAATCCCACTACTAGGTATATATCCTACAGAAATAAGAGCCATGACATTACATACTACACAAAAATATTCTACATCCTACTTTGGTGAGTAGCAATGGGATCTTAAAAGCTTGCAAGGGGCCATCTAAGATGCAATAATGGGTCTTTTCTTGTCCAGAGCAAAGAAGAATGAAGAAAACCAAAGACACATGGAAACAATTAGTCCAAGGGACTAGTGGACCATGTGAACTTCAGCTTATATAACCATGAAATGAGAAGAACAAGATGGTGCCCAGCTACCACTGTCAACCACCTCGGAAAGGAATCAGTGCATGAAATCCTGGATAGAGTGGGAGAACAATATGGAACAAAACTCAAAATCATAAAAAAGACCAGGTTCACTGGTCTGACAGAGCCAGGTGAGACTCCCCCCCCCCCCCCCCCAAACTACAGCTCCTAGTTACCCTTCAGGTCTGGAAGTGAACTCATGCCCATGGCTTCCAGCCAAACAACAGACAGGCATATAGGGTGAATATTTACATCAGGTAGATATACTCCTTAGAACAATCAATCTGAGAGAACACGAAGGTACTATTTGCACAAGGAGATAGCTCAGGGGGCAGAAATGCATAGAAAAAAGGACACTGGGAAGAGTTAACTACAGGGAGGAAGTGGGAAGAGAGCTATTACATTAAGGGGATTGCAGTCAATGTCATGAAACAAAACATGTATGAACTGCTGTAAGGAAAATGAATTTGCTCTGTAAACTTCCACCCAAATCACAATTAAAAAGTAAAATAAAGAAATAAGAGCCATGATATGAATAAATATACGCACACTCATGTTCATCACAGCATTCTTCACAACAGAAAAAAAGATGGAAACAACCCAGATTCTCATCAATAGATGAATGGATTAACAGACTAAGGTACATACACACAATGGAATATTATGCATCATTAAAGAATAACAATGAACCTGTGAACCACCTCATAACACAGATGAACCTGGAGGACATTATGCTGAGTGAAATAAGTCAATCATAAAAGGACAAATACCGTAGGAGACCACTACTAAAAAAAGTCAAGAAACCGTTTACACACAGAAACGTTCTTTGAAGGTTACCAGTGGTGGGATGTGAAGGGCGAGTAAATCACTAACTACAGGATAGACATGCATTAACTTGGCTGAAGGGAAAGGCAATATACAATAAGGGGTGGGGAGCACAAAATTATCAAGGCAAAAGAAGACACTGGAAGGGGCACAAGAATTAAAGGCAGCAAAAAGTACCTGGATGGGGAGATGTTTTGCTCTTGGCTAGTAACTGAATGGTTGGCAGTTTAAACCCACCCTGTGGCACTGAAGATCCAGGCCTGGCAATTAATCAGCTTCCATAAAGATTACAGCCAAGCCTACACCATAGTCAATGGGGTATCTCCAAATGAACACAACAACAAACAAATAAACACTTCAAGAGTTAAAGACAACAAAGGTAAATACTATTACATACATAACCTTACATACTGTGGTGTACTAAACTACATAGTGTGGCTCTTCTAGCAATAAGTCTTTGTAAACTCTGTAGTGGAATTTGCCACGAGCAACTGAGTAGCTCCTGATTGTTAAAGTTACCCACCTGGGGTATTTCTGTTGTGAGTGGCATGAAACAATCTTCTGGGAAGTTCTCTCTCTCTCAGGTATATAGAATTCTGATGTTGGGATTCGTTAGTTTGGCCACTCTTGCCAGACTCAAAAGGAGCTCTCCTAGAGGCAGAAGGAATCTCTCACTGCTGGCTGGGAGATGCAAGAGACATGTACTGCTGAGAGAGAGAGACCAAGAGAGACTGTCGGCTGAGAGATGGTGGGTTGAGAGAGACTGAACGTGTTCCTGAACTTCAATTGTAGCCTGTTGCTTCCCTAATAAACCCCACAATCTGTGAGTTCTGTGTGCCCACTGCAGCGAATTATCGAACCCAGCAGAGAGGTGGTGGATGCTGCGGGAGGAACAGTTGGTATCAGGGTTGGTAAAAGAGTTGGAGGGAGGAGGCATGTCTGGTTTCGCAAGAATAGGCCTTGGGCTACTGATGGTGATTCTGTCTCCCTCTTGTAGGGTTAGGGGAGGTCAGAAGATGCGGCCTCCTTGCCTCTTTAGCACATACATAACCCTACAATAACAGTAATAACAGTATTAGTAGATACATAGACACTTTCAAGCTGAAAAGGTAAGATAAGGTGAATAGAATTACACTCACAAACATAAGGTTTGAAAGAGGATATGTCTACGTATTCATGTGGGCTGTCTGACTCGATGGCAAATAACCACAACAACATATAGCAGACCATATGAGGGGTTAAGTTATGAAAACTTTTTAGCCATAACCAAACACTCAGAGGGAATGAGTTGCTGAGATGCATGAAACTAATTAGTCCAAAGGACTAATGGAACATGTGAACTACAGCCTCCTTGACTCTGAGACCAGAAGTAGATGGTGCCCAGCTACCAGTGACTACTCTGAAAGGGATCAAAATAAGAGGTCCCAGATAGAGCGGGAGAAAAATGTGGAACAAAGCTCAAAATCATAAAAAAAGACCAGACTTACTAGTCTAACAGAGACTGGTGGAACCCCTCAGACTACAACTTTTAGACACCCTTCAAGCCTAAAACTGAACTCATTCCCATGGCTCAACTTTCAGCCAAACAACAGACAAGCCTTGAGGTGAACAATAACACCAGGGAGGTACGAACTCTCTAGAACAATCAACCATATGAGAGCAAAAGAGCAGCATTTGCCCAGGGATAAAGCTAAGACATAAAGGGACAGGAAAGAAGGATGAATGGAAACAGAAAACACAGGGAGGCAATGGGAAGAGTGCTGTTACATTGTGGGGATTGAAATCAATGTGATGGAACAAAATGGTACGAAATGTTGAACGGAAAACCAATTTATTCAGTAAACTTTCACCCAAGTCCCCATAAAAAGTTAAAAAAAAATAAAAAGGTCCTAAAGCTGAGGCACTCCCAGAGACCACCATTCAGCCAAATAAGAGACGGGACTATAAAACAAACAATACCCATGAAGAATATGCTCCTTAGATCAACTATACTAGACCAAAAGGGCAACAGATGAGAAGACAGGAAGAGACAGGGAAACCTGATGAATGGAAACGGGGAACCCAGGGAGAAAACAGGGAGAGTGCTGAGACATTGCAGGGAAGGCAACCAATGCTACGGAACTAATTTGATAATGTAAACTTTCACCTAAAGCACAATAATCGGTTTGTTTGTTTTTTAAGTCACAAGGCTTCCCTACTTACCCTTTGGGCCTGGAATTGAACTCACTCCTATGACTTCCAGCCAAACAATAGACAGGCCTATGAGGTGAATAATTACACCAGGTAGGTACATTCCTTAGAATAATCAACCATAGGAGATCAGAAAGGCAGCCTTTGTGCAGGGAGAAAGCTCAGAGAGCAGGAATGCATAGTAAAAGAGGACACAGGAAAAAGATAACCACAGGGAGGAAGTGGGAAGAGAGCAGCTACATTGTGGGGATTGCAACCAATGTCACGAAACAAAATGTGTATGGACTGTTAAGTGGAAAACCAATTTTCTCTGTAAACTTTCACCCAAATCACAATTTTTAAAAAAAAAGCCCTAAGGCCAAGACCTAACTTTGCTCCCTCCCAGTTCCATGGCCTTGGAGAAACCTAGTATATGTTGGGGAAAGGCAGAGGTATGTGTGTGTTGAGGAGGTTGGCGGTCAGCAATGCCAAGGTCACGAAATCAGTCTCAATTAGAAGGTAGCAGAGAGTGGCATGAGTAACCCATGTTTCAGGAAGGGATTGATGCACAGGTAAAACAAACTCTATGGCAAAGAGACCCAGGGGGAGAATGAGGCTTAGGAGAGAGAAAAGAAATAGCTAGAAAGAATGTCAAAGAAGAAAGCTTTGTAACAGTGCAGACAAAGGGAATGAAGACGAGAGGAAGTGTCAGGGATGGCCTCAAAATTTCTGACCTGGAAAGAACAGAATCCAGATGAGAGAAATAGATTAGCAAGAAGGCACTCATTTTAGAAGGAAAACTGATGAGATTTGGATGGTAGATTGTGAGGTTAGAATGTTCCTATTAGTTCACTTTCTTTTAAGACACAGTTCTGATCATATCAGTTTCCTGCTAAAAAACCTCCAGTGGCTCCTTGCTACTTCCAAGGTAAGACCAAACCCCTGAGCTTGACAACAAGGCCCTTGAGTATCTGCTCTGTCCACCATTCTCCCCATTCCTATGAACCATGCCTGTGTTCATACTTTTTCCTTTTACCATTCCCTCTTCCCTCTAACCAGCAAACATATGTATCCTTCAAAGCCTAGCTTAAATACCACCCATTCAAGATGCCTTTCTTATCCCCCCTACAATCAGCTGCTCCCACAGAACCCTGTACATATGTCCATTATGGCAATTATTCATTCCATAAATTACACTGAGGCAGGCCACATCTTAAAGTCAAAGCCCTAATCTGGTTTTCTCCTTTTGCGTGCTTCATTACCACAGAGCTCAGATAGCA